GGGTTCCTTCCAGACCCTGGGCGAAATGGGAGATGGGTTTCTAACCATCCCTATTGCCCATCTCCTGGTGCAAACGGGTTGTGTTTGGTGAGTGAGGCTTTCTCTTTCTTACCGGCTCCTCTCCACCCTGCTCACTCCCCTTTCTGAGGTAGATCTGATCCTTTGCATTGTGACTTGGTGGGCTCTTGGTAGCCTTCCAGAGAGCCACATCTCTGTGGGGGGACGACAGCCTGTCTCGACCAGCCACAGCCCTGCAGGCTCCAAGGGCTCGCTCCTGTGAGAACGACTGCTTAGGTGCCTGCCTGGTAACCAAACAGGGCAGGAACCATGGGGCTCCCTTCTTCTCTAACCGGGCTTTTCTTTTTCTGTCTCATTCTCCTTTTCTCTTTCTCCCCACCCCTCCCCTCCCCAACACAAAAGGCCCTGTAATTCCAATTAGAAGATGAATATAACACTATTAGGAAGAAAAGGACTTTTAGGGATTTGACATGTTGGATTTGATGTGGCTGGGCTTGCTTCAGGGGAGACAACCGTAAATACCGCAGTGGTTTCACCTAAAATTGCTTTACCTTGAAATAGCTCTAGGGGAGTATAGATGCCGCTTCGCTGCAGCTGATGTTGAATATAAATCTTAATATCCCTCTCTTTTCACCCTCCCCGTTTAGAGTCAGGGGAAGAAAGGAAAAAGAAACCTAGCCAAAAAAAAATGAAGGTTTGATTTTGGCTCTTTTACAAACAGATGTTGCTTGTCATTCTGTTGTTGTTAAGCAGGCACCAGATTGGACCAAGCAGCAGTTGTGTGAGTGTGTGTGTGTGGGGGGGGGCATGTGTGTGTGCACACGCATATGTGTGTGTGTGTGTATGTGTGAGTATATGTGTGTGTGTGTGTGTATGTGTGTGTGTTGAGGTGGGCAGAAAGAGAAGGAAAGACAGGGAGGAAGAGGGAGCAAGAAGGAGAGAATTAGAATTTTGCACAGCAGATGGAGGATTAGAAAAGCAAAAAAAAGAAGAAGAAAAAAGATTGATTTTTAGGGACAGTTGGGGCAAGAAGTTAATATAGATGGGGACTAGCAGTTAGCATAATGACTATGTCGCTGGACTCCCATGTAGTCGACTGCGGTTCGCGATCCGGACCCAGTGGCTTAAAAAATTCACGCCGGGCGCGTGTGCGTGTGTGCCCAAGATCCCGAGAGGAGAATGGAGGAGAAGGGATTGCGGTGTGGCCATCTCCCCTGGGGGGTGATTTCTCGCTTTCTGTCTCTCTGTCTCTCTCTGTCTGTCTGGCGAGCTCATGCTCCCTATAGCAAAAAGAAAAACCTCTCAAAAAATATATATAGATGAATACTTTTTTGTATTTCCAAACTTCAATTCAGTAGCTGTATAAAATCATACTCTATTTGGATGTTTGTTATTTTTCCGAAGAAGGAAGAAATATGGAAATCAGTAGACACAGAGCCTAGATGAGAAAAGCTGACATCCTGGGGAAAGGGACAGGAGAGGGGTTTGTTGACTGGTCCTCTGAGAGGACTCGGACCCTGGAGTAAGGCTAGGCTCTTTCTGTTTCAGTGGAGCCTGGCTTATTGGGTTTGTTAATTACTTCTTTTTGTAAGTTCCATTGTGGATGTGCTAGACTTTTCTGTACCTTTCTTAGAACAAGAATTCCATTGTCAAACAGTCAAAATGGTAAGAAAATACTGATTTAAAAAAAAAAAAAGATTTATTCATGTATTATTTTTTAATTTGACGGGAGAGAGAGAAAGTGAGAAAGCCACCCAGTCTGCGACTTGAACCACAGTCAGCTATGTGGGAGTCAAGCACCTTAACCACCATGCCACCTGTCTCCCCGAAAATGCTGATTCGTTATATATCTATATATCTCTTTTCTTGCAAGATTAAATCCTAATTCTCTTCCCAAGCCACTCTGGGGCGGGGGGCACTTTCTAATCTAAGTGTGGTGTGCTTTCTCGCGAGCAAAGTGTTACGGTTGCCCGGCCCACAGGGAGGGTAGGAGCATTTCTGGCTCACTGACACTAAAGAAATGGAAGCATCTGACTTCTTGAAAATGTATTTCATGTTCTCATGTCAGAATCATGATTTTCTTTTTTCTTTCA